GTATCATAAAAAAATAAAAACAAAAGAATTTATACAAAAAAATTAAAAAAAATTAGGGGTGGACCACCCTTAACATTTAGGATGATGAAAAATAGATGTCCGATTCTCTACCCTGGCCGATATGCTCACAAAATTTCACGAAAATCGGTCGAGCCGTTTCGGAGGAGTTCAATTTCAAACACCGTGACACGAGAATTTTATATATTAGATGTGTGCTTTGTAGGCGTACATTCAATATTTATAGTGTTTTACTGTCTTGTTTAATTTCTTAAGTTCAATTGTAGCATTTCGTAGGGCTTTTGATGTCGAAAATTGCCTGTCTGTGCAAACAGAGTATAGCAACGAGTTCCGTGGACAAGTAAAATAAAAGCTCCTCACATTATTTCAACATTAAGTTTCCCTACAGCTCTTCATCAGGTGACATGGTGGTCCTGCGATTGCAGAAGATATCAGATGTGGTTGCGTCCCTCGAAATAATTGGAACAGACTGTTATATCCTGAGTGAAAAAGACGGCGGGACCGTTGTCCGTGATCCGTTGTGTGCGAAAGTCCGTTGTCTGTCCACGAATGCCGGTGCTAACTTTCGCGGAGCGTCACTAACCGAGACTGCTAAGTGATCATTTAGCGCTTCGGCACGTCGGCGCTTTTGGCTGCAGTTCGACCGCGTGCACTAACTAGCCAACTGTAGTTATCGCTGCCATAACTTGCCACGCACGCCGTCTGATTCATGCGGTTAGTCAGCCGATGTCGTTTCCGACGCGGCTTAATTTGTAAATAATCACGATTTCGTTGTTATAAAAGGAATGGATTCACATCATGTTTTGGTAGTGATCAAAACGTTTTTTATCGTGGTTTGTTTGAGGTCTTCTTTTAAACTGCGGTATTTTTCGTCCATTGTTTAAATCCAAGTTCCATAGCTACCTTTCTAAAAATCTTGTTTACCCCATCATCAAACAGCGTAGTCCCTGCTTAACAACCAGACAAATAATTTATGATTTTATTCATAAGCAATGTGTTGTGTCAACATAAGAAAATATCTTTTTCCTCCAAGAGTTCTATTTTAAGGAAATAAATATACGAAGAAAAACGAAATATAATTTACCTGCAGTAAAGCTTAAAATGTAAGTCACCATTTGGATGTTCAAAGGCAGGAAAATTTCAAATTCATGGTTCAATAACGTAAAAATTTCGGAAGAGCTTATTAATTTTTTTTCTGTCATAATTACAAAAACTATGGATAATTCTATCGTGCCGACAACCTGTTTCATAACACTATATAAAAATATAATGACTAACCTTAAAAGAATAGGTGATTACACGATGCATTCGAAATATTTGAACCACACGTAGTGTGTTGAGTGTTCAAGGAAAAAAAACTCAAATAATGAGTCATTCGAACACGATAATAACATAGTCATTGTTTGAACGGCACCATAGAAAGTTGGTGTGTTTGTGTGTTAGTCACATTGAATGTCCGCTTTGCGGTTGGCGGGCCATTGCTGATGCGTATCACACTGCAATGTTTGTATACACATATATCCAATGATTTTGGTTTTTTAACAAAGTAAACGGACACTCGAAGTTTCTATTTACCCGCCAGCAGTTTTCAGAAAACGATATTGTCTCTGCCGATAGATATTTGTGAGAAGTAATGACTAATGTCGGTCGTTTGTTTCATCTAATGGACTCTTATGTTGTGTTTCTATTTAGTAAGAAAGCGTTTATCTTCGATTGTATATTTAGTGCTTTCTGGTTGTTAATAAAGTGCCCAATTGAAATACCCCTCCCGCAGTTAGGCGTAGGTAGAGGTGTGTAAAAAGCGTAGAAAGTAGCGCACGTAAGATATCAGAAACCTTTGGGATCATTTACACACGCACATATAATTGTGCGAGTTTACATATGATGTGCAGCAAAGAAACGTTAGGTCCTAATCTTTTAACGGAATGCTGTCTGATTTTTCCGTCTTTTTGTACTGTATGTATGTAATTTTAGCATTATCGTTGTAATATCTTCTCTTTTTTCTTCTGAAGACAGTGCAACATTCATTTCCTGATTTAGAGGGTCAAATCTTGTTCACTACAAGAAACTCGGATATCCTAACAGAGGCATCTGCTGTTGTGCATATGAGCTGGCTCTACTGGAAATGCGTTGGGCAGCGCATCGTCCTGTCAGGCGGTGAATCTCTGCTTTATGTATATAGCGCATACATCAGCATACTGCAAACCCTTTTCGGTAAGGAATAAGCCTGTATGTTTGTGCTGACATCATACTCGCATGTTCAAGCGAGCCACTTAAATTTAAAAAGCGACGGGAAAACCAATGCCAAGATTCTTACGTAACCAGCGGTCAGATCGGAGACGATTCCATTCCCGCAGAAGCCGTCTCAATTCGTATTCCGTTCGCGCATTAGAGAAATCAAAAAGCGTCCTATGAAATCAAACGCTTCCCGAACAGATTCGAAGCGGGCGCGCTATTCGAGGCACGTAGCGACTCTTAAATCCTACGGGCGGTGTCCGACTGTTCCGGTGGTTCGATACCCACGTACGTACGGTTGCATCGCGACAGAAGTATTGGCGGATCGAAGGCAGGAATATACCCGTAAAAGTGAAGTAAAGTTAGTCTATATGGGCTTCCTTTGTATAGAGCGTAGGGCATAGTCCAACACGCAACCCCACTGCGTTTTGGCGGACTTTACATGTGAACGAAATATTTTTTTGTTATTATTTCGAAAATATGCTGGTGCATCATGATGATTTCCTTCACTGCCGTGAACCGCGATTTGAACTCTGGATGCTCAAGTATATTGCAATCATAGCGAGCGCCAGGTCACTGAGGCCCTATATTCTCGTTCCATCGACCAAATTTCATCCGATAGGCACGGTGGATAATCGAACTGCCTCTTGTGCTAAAAGGTGTGGTTCGATCCCCACTACTGGAAAAACATTGCGTGATGCACATACAGTTTTTCTAGTAGGTGTTTATATGGCATTAATATGTATTTTCAAATACCTAGTACCCATAGTACAAGATTTGCTTAGTTTGTGAGACTAATTGTCAATAATAGTGCTATGGGTACTTGAGATGGTTTGTAAAAATGTATCTGAAAATATTTATTTTTTTATTTATCGACCGTGTTTATTCCTCAGAAATGGTCAGGTCGCTATATGGTCTTATTTATTTTATTTCAATTTCTCTTCAAAGACTTCACCAATACTTCATTACTAGCACTCATTTTTGTATTGTTTCTTAACGTTATCATTCTGTATAATAATGGATATCGAAACGCTTGACCTACTTTTTCCATTAGTTGTTGAAATAATTATATTACCAAGCAAATGTGTCGTTAAGTAACATGTGAGAATACAGCTTAATCTTAAGAGGTCCGTTCTCGTATAATATGTCAGAAATATTCTCTTCTCCGTATTGTATAAAATGATACAATTACAATAAATATTTCAGGGAACACAGCCAAAAACGCTAACTATGCGACTCTGAAACCTATAAAACGATAATTAGTTCGTTATATACGATACGATATATTATATACGATATCAATTGACTGAACATCTTATTTACAAAAACTCCAAAAACTACCATTTTATCGTATAATCTTCGATATGTATGCCATTTGTATAATTAAGAATGTTTCATCTTTAATTAAAGAAGTTGTTGAACATCTTGGTTGTTTGTGGTATACAAAGAGGCAGTTTTCATTACTCCTTCGGGCGCTTAAGAATATGAAGTTAATCAGACGTATTTATGTGAGTTACTGTTGTTTTTGTTTTCTAATTTATAGCTCCGTATACGCTTGCAATAGTCATTCGCAATAGAAAAATGTACTGCATATTTTTCAGTGTTAGAAATTTATTTATACCATCAATCTCCATTGAACTTCAGCATCAATCAGCCGCAAAAAACCGTTTTTGTGCAATCAACTATCGCGGCACCACATTCGACATCGTCCCATACTACGACAATTGTCCAAATCTAAACAATTGTGCACGCTGTATTCTGGTTGTATGTACGACAATGAATCCGATTTTAATAGGGGCAATTAAGTCTTAGGTTTTTGTCTGGGTTATTATCTAAGATAGGCGTTAAGTAAGTCAAATCTCTATCTGGTAGAAATCCTAATCTAAATGGCGTGGTTCATCATTAACTATGCCACATTAGATTTAATCAGATCGTTTAAGGTCCGCATTAATGAAGGTACGTTAACAGAGAATAGAAGTCAAGTAAAGTAACAGTTGTAACATAAGTTTCGTTTGGATTAGTCGCAAAGTTGGGCGCCATACGATCGACCCACAGATTTCTTGGGCGTTTGTCCGTTTGAATTTTGTGTTTGTCAACTAAAATTAGCGCTCACATGTTGGTTTCGTAATTACATATAAATTAATATATTGAGGATATATTTTTACTCAGCGTGACTAAGCAAAGCTTGTACTGTGGATACTAGGTAACTGATAAAATTACTTAAACATACTTTTCTCTTGTAAACACGTATGTCCTTAAATTTTTTTTCAGTTGTGGGAATCGAAACCACACCCTCTGGAGCGGGAGACAAGTCCACTATTCACTACGCCATTCGGGTCGTCGAATCTCTACATAGTATAAAACAAAGTCGTACCGCTGGCTGTCTGTCCCTATACATATGCCATATATATGCTTAGATCTTTAAAACTACGCTACGGATGCGGCTGCGGTTTTCTTTAATAGATAGATAGAGTGATTCAAGAGGAAGGTTTATATGTATAATTCATCCATAATATAGTTGAGAAACAAAAAACTTTCAGCATTGCAGCCGTGCGAAGCCGGAGCGGATCGCTAGTATTTTTAATATAGAAAAGGAAGTATTGGGTATCTTCGCATACTTCGGAAATATTGTTTTTTCAACTAGATATGATCGCCCGACACCGTTAGCGGCCCGGCGCATGTCCGTACCAATTAGAGCTCGTATCAGCACGCTTGTAAAACTCGGTACTGTCATGTAGCATCGCTTACGAGACGTCGCGTGGGCACTTGACACGTGGACACGGACTCGTGTCGTACCAGAGCGAACGCGGGCCGCTCCTATTGTCTCGAGGTGGGTTGCGCAAGCACGCCTCCCTATGATCGGGACCTGTGCAAATTTGAGACGTTTGAAACTTTTATATAAGTAGGACTAAGCTGTATGTATGAGTGAATATAATTGTACCTGTTCGTACCAGTATAAGATCTCTCTTAGATTGAACAACTTTATAAGTCATCCGGTGTGAATATTGACAATAAATTCATACTATCCAAATAATGAAAAGAATAACTAGCTGCAAAATAAGTTACAAGTTATGAACTTTCATACCAATGGTATATATATATATATACCTAGAGATATATATATCTAGAGATCAACTTATAGAAATAGGAGTGGAAGAGATTTTTTTTATTTATTTCTCTTAAAATTTTAGAAATGTACTTTTAGCCCTAGATGTAAATAGCAAATTGTAGATCTGACAGAGTTGACTTTCGTACCAATCGGCTTTTTGCCTATTTAATAACCTTCAAAAAAGTTAAAAAAATAAGCCAAATTACTTACTACCTATCGGATAGTCAGCTAATTTAATCTATGACTATTTTGTGCTCACTCAAATTAATTTAATTAATAACTCTTCTGTAGAGGGTCATAGTAAATCTTTATGTCTTATCCAATCGCTTAAAATACTATATTTGTTAACTAGCTTCAACAATGACACATGCTTCGCCGCCATTGCATACACAATTGCTATAAATGTATACATATAAAAAAACATTTTAACACATGTCGTCCCATGTCTCAAGTCACCGTGGCCGCGCGCTAATGCGGCCGACCTTTCGACAACACTTATTAACCAATCGGGCAGATACGATCTGCGAACGAGGCAAGGCGTATCGTAGACGCTCTCGTGTAGCAGACATTCGGGTCAACAGCTCTCTTGAAGCTTAATTTTTAGCCGTCATCTTCACTCTATGGAAGGTGTGGAATATCGCCTGCTTGGGCTCATTTCCCGGCGGGAAAGAAACTCTTACTTATGCGATCATGTTTTGGTTGTACTATAATTTAATCGAGGTATAGATGAATCTAGTATGTCTGTATGTGTCATCGATATTATGTAGTAAAGAAGAAAAGGCTGGGCTGGATGAGGAAAGCGGAAGATGTCCTTGGGAGGCCTATATCCAGTAATGGATTGCAAAATGCTGATTTGATTGATGGATGATGGAAAGAAGAAAAAAAATTAACAATGTTTTTTCTCGATCTCAGTGGTCTACATTACAATATCATTGTTTATATTTTATTTGTGTTTAGTTATCGATAAAATAATTATAAAAGTGGTACTTAATATGTCAGTCAAGCATTCAATAAAAGGGCTAGTTAGAAATACAATTATAAATAAAAAAAAATACAATTAATAAAATGAACTAGTTGGCAATACTTTTCGTTCATGCGATTCTTTTATTCATATAACTGCAAATTTACTCCGTGGCGTAGTAGCTAAGCTATTGACTTAGGTGCCGAGGGTCATGGGTTTGATTCCCACATGGAACAAGCTATTCTGCGACCCATAGACAATTAGGGTGTATTCCCAAGGAGCGTTGACCTCAAGACCTCAAGTGGCCGGTCGTAAAAACCTAGCCAAATTAACTAAATTATTGGAATAACTTTCAATTATTTTAAGACAAAAGTTATATAGACATGATTAAATATAGAGGTAGGATTAAAATATAGATACACAACGATTTCCAACTTTGTTTTCTCAACTCGGACTGATCGGAGATGTTCTCGAGTCAAATTCAGTATCTACTCATTTGTACTAAATCTGAATCTAGACAATATTAGTACTCTGGTAACATATGCGCCGTCGCATCGTCCATAATCGCTTTTACGCCCCGAACACACGGCTCGATATATCACGCGGCGCATGAATTTCATTACACAGGACGCACGTGATTATCAAGATTAATCCGAACGGGTTATAGGTGGGACAAGGTGGGGTTCCTTCCCCGTTCGCCAATCGAATACGAGCCATAACGCAGCTGTGTAAGGTATAAAATAGCATAGCCGAGGGCAAGTCGTCGGAACAATAGTTTTTAATCAGATACGCGGAGTAGTAAATTATTGTGGATGCGATATCGTTCCAGGGCTTGTTGCGATTGCGATTTCCTTATAGATCCTGGACGTTGTATGGGATGAGCAAATCGAGATATGTTAATACAATCGGGCGGAAGTATTATCTTTATGGAAATGTTTTCATTCTGTCGGTACCTTCAGAATTTAAGAACATTTACTATAGAAATCTAGAACATATTTTCGATTCATAGTTTAAGTTGAAAATATAAGTTTTGCCGTTACAAAGATTTTATACGATAGGACCATGCGAGAATATATATATATCGACAGCTTAATATTCTCGCATGGTCCTATCATATATATATATATATATATATATATATATATATCTAATTCACTAAACTGCATTTCTTATATGGTCTTATTATCGTCCGTTTTAAGTAAAATAAAATTCACACATAACATTGGACTTCGAAAGGCTTCATAGACCGCATTGAGGATTTATAACCTTACTTCTATCTATTAAATCTCTGTCTTTTTCATAAAGTTCCTTTTCCCCCATGCCGTTATTATGTTAGAATACACAAAAATCACTTACGTCATGTTCAGTACGTGGTGCATCGAATATTGTATGTAAATATAATATAATAGCTATATATAATATAATAGCGTTAAGAATTACCTCCACAAAAATGCATCTGCCCCGCGCGGGTGATGAATATGGGAAAATGCTGGATGCACCGAACGAACGGCCGCCAGATTCCTTTGTGGCGTTTCACGTGACGTGGATATTAAATTTTCACCGCAGAGCGCCTCCGGTGGTATACGGCCGATGAAGAATTCAACGCAGACCTGATGATATAACCCTTTGATGGGTTACGTCGAGCGCGAGTTCGAATTTGAAATTAGAACGACGCCGTCCGAGAATTTAATTGGCCCCGCGCTTCCGTTGTATTTCTTTTTCGGAAGCCGAGGACTCCTTTTTCGTTTTGTTAATTTCGACCAGCCACAATTTAGTTACAAAATATCTTATCTGTCAAATAATTAGCAATATGAATGAATTTTTTTTTTGTTAGCACAATTACAAGTTTAATTAGGTACGTTTCAATATTATTCATTGAATTGTGTAACGAACCGAAATGATCCTCTTAAGAACTTAAAAATCATCGCCTCGCTCTTATCGAATCTCATTGCTGGCAATTAGAAATGCACTCGCCCATTTCGCCGCAATGGCATTCGACCTTATTGCGAATCGATCGCAAGCGCATCGATGGTAATCGCTCTTGCGAGATCGACCCCACGAACCCGGCGAAGCGGTTTCCCAATCGAAACGTGAGAATCACACTCCGACCCGCTCGGCGCTAAAGCGGCCGTTGTGCGTGCGCGGCTCTCGCGACGAACGCGTTACGCAATAGTTTTAATCTTTTCAATTGCTGTTTTCAAATTTTTCGTCTATTGATCGTCAAAAATCTATACTAACGCGGTTCGACAAAAATGCCACTGAGGAGAACCGGTGAATGAAGCTCAGCGTGTTTACAATATAAGTACCTGGAGGACCGAGCTTTGCTCGGTTTTTTTTGTAAATTATGTATTTTGGAATTAAAAAAAATAAAAAATAAAGAAATTGATCTGGTATAGAAAAAAAGTAAAAAAAATAAGTGTGTAAATGATCGTGATACGAACCACGGCCGTCTGTTTTGGGGCCGCCCGATAGATCGATTTTTCGCTCCTATTTACGCACATACTAAATTTCATGAATAATCGCTGGAGCCGATTCCGAGATTCCGATTATATATATATATATACAAGAATTGCTCGTTTAAAGGATAAGATTAAAGTCCACTTGGAAGAGCCTGGAGCGATCAACCCACTTCCAAAGTTCTGGAAAGAAGTTTGAAAATGTTGAACTTTTTTTATTTATACGAGAAAAGATGGTACTACATTGATGTTTAAACAGATGATAAGAGATTCCACCGCCAATGCGAAAAAGTTTCGGATAGAAGTTTGACAAGTATAACAATTTCTACTTTTTTTACGACCCGAATGGCGTAGTGGGTAGTGCATCTACCACCTGCGCCAGAGGGTGTGGGTTCGATCCCCACTACTGCAAAAATATTGTGTAATGAACATGGTGTTTTTCTAGTGTCTGGGTGTTTACATATGTTTAATATGTATTTATTTACAAAAGAAAAACATGTTTAAGTATGTTTATCAGTTTTCTAGTACCCATAGTATAAGCTTTGCTTAGTTTGGGACAAGAAATGTTGTATAAAAAAGTGTCCTAAAATATTTATGTATATTTATATTTATTTCTTATACAATAAAACATGTTGGCGTACTCGCAAGCGAGTGACTGGTGCCGCTCATGGACTTCTAATACACGTGAGGTACCTGCACCTACCTCAGTTGACGAACTTTAAAAACTGTGGCCCCCTGTTTACCTCACTCACCAGAAAAAATGGTTCCACATCGCGTCGGTCTTCTGTAACTTCTCTGGACGAGGCTGCCCATTCGTGCAATAACGAAGTTACAAAGGAGCTGGTTAAAAAGAAAGTTCCGCCGATGATAAAAAAATCGCGGGCGTCCGCGGCTCCGAATTACCCGAAAAGATTACCGCCGCCCATCGACGTTTCCACACCCGTAGGGTTACAGATGCGTTGCCATCTATTACTAAAGTGAGCCCCGGCTGCCTTACTCGCCAGACGAAACCCAGAACACTTCCACGTCACGCCGGTCGTCTGTGAGGTCGTGGTACTTACCCGGATTGACCTGCCTATTCGTGCAAAAGCAGAGACTGTCTTATTTTATTTTCGACTCTCATAACTAATATTAAATTATTGACGATCGGTTCTAAACACAATCGTTATTGAGCTATGCTATGGGCTAAGACTTATTCTGATTGTCTGATTTCATACGACTTTGATTTCCAAATTTCCTATTCTGTTCTTTACACGACGGGCGATTGTAAAACAATGAATTATTATCTCCGTTGCGAAAACACTAGCCCGTACATAAATGACATCGTTACATAATCAAATCGATGGGATAAAGAAAGAATCCGACGAACAATCGGTAGTGTGTATACGTTCCGAAATCGCTTGCACAGGCCCGTTGTGATTTACGAGTGCAGCGTTCATAAATCATCGCGTATACGCAAACAGAAATGGCCACTGACGACATAACCACGCGTACGCAAGTGTTGAGCGGTTACATGATTGAACGCTCCGCGAGGTCGGTGGGTCGAAGCCTGACCTCTCCTTTCACTCGCGGCCATTGCTCAAGCGGCGCGTCTATTGATACATTCACGATGTATTTATCCTTATTATCTCGATGCATTCTCCATACGGCACGGAGTATTGTGTTGTACTCTGAAAGTATTGTAATGTTTTGTTAGGCGATTACTACGAGGGCCCGCTTGGTGATGTGTTGTATTTTTTTTCTGCATCAAGAATGATTCTTAATAATGAAAAATTTGGTCTCTTCAAACGGGAAACTATGCATACGCCGGTATTCTGAACGAGTAAGGTCATGGTACAATCCCTGTAGAACCGAATAATTTATGCCACAAGAACGCGCGTTTAGAATTAAGTAGATTTTTGAATGTACCCGTACCAATGTGGTTGGGCCACGCATCAGTATCTGCTGTTGCAAGAGGACATTATACGCAAATGAGCGGCGTGATGTCGATGTATTATACTTTCGCGTTTCGTCTGGTGAGTGAGGTAGCCGGGGCCCAATTTAAGTTTGTAAACGCATTTGCAAGCCCTCAGTGCATGTACATAGGCGATGGTAATCGATTTACACCAGGTGAACCTCCCGATCGCTTGAACTAACTTTTCTCATAAAAAAAGGAAGAATTTGTTCAAAACTATTCGGGATTTTAGGCTGTGTTCGCAAATGAAATTCTTATTTTGAAATCCGCATAACTATCGCCAGCGAGTGTTCTTTTTAGAGTTTAGCGAAAATCGCAATAATTATAACATACAGACTAGGAAGCGAAATCAAAAGTGCTGTTCCTGTCTCCCGTCCGCTATATGTATATATTAATATGTTGCGTATACATATTTTTGGCTGACAGTATACAATCATTTACCTCATTTAACTTTATTCTAATGCATTTATTCCTGTTTCTTGTTCTGTGTACTATATAAAGTAAAATAAACACGACAATTATCACGATTGTTAATTAATAACTTTAGCTGTGACGTGTTCAAAACCAACAAACGCATTTTCGCGTTTATGACATTTGTTAGGTCGCTTTCGGTTTAAATTTCCTTTATGGCTATGCCCATGTCAGGTAATTAAAAAGTAACGTCAGCTTTTATAACCTCTGATGCGATAAAGTTGTGTTTAATCTTCATTTCATGGCTTTTGCACGTAATTGAACCACTCAATATTGATGCCGACAAACGTAACAGGTTTTATAATTACGTCAGTCGCATTAAACAATACGGTAGTAAAACAAAGGGTCTCTTTTATGTTTATTAAACGCTAAAATAAAATAGTAGTGAAAAATGAAATACTATAAAAATAAAATAATAATATTGTATCTAATGACGACTTTTGACTTATCTAGAGAGAGAGAGAGAGAGCTTATCTAACAGCAGAGCTCTCCACCAATTGAACTTCCCGTTGAGATCTACTTATTCCAATGATTAAATCCTAAGCAATAGACCCAAAGCAGAGACCGTAACCTAGAGATAAATTATGGGAAAATTAAAATTACGCAATTTAAAACATATACATTAAATGTATATATTTTAAACAGTCTATCATTAAATGTATATATAAATTTTCATGATACAAAGTTGGAAAAAGTACACTCATTTAGTTGGGTTTAAATATCGATTCAAATATAAACTGGAAAGTACATATTGATTGTTTGAAAACGAATTTGTTGATTATTTAAAACCGTTTGTTTTTAAAGTAGTTATTTCTTTAAAAAAAAATCAAAGATACTTACAGCATTACTGCACGACATAAAAACAACTGCAGATATCTGCACATATCTTCGATTTTTTTTTATATTATATTTCGAAACCATTCAGTTTTCCTCACGATGTTCTCCTTCACCGCTTAGCACGTGATATACCACGCAATGAAATTAAAAATATAACTGAATTGCCTGAGTTTACATCCAAAATGCCGTTGCAGGATAGGGCAGGTCGGTCTGGATAAGTACCACCTCACAGAAGAAACCGGCGTGTAATGGAAGTGTTAGGCCTGAAAGAAAGAAAAAGCGGTTATCAATTAATATCAGGTGAACCGCAAGTTCGCTGCCACCGTCGCACGTAAAAAAGTTTTCTTTTGAGCATTACAAAAGAACTGTTAAACTTGACAAATTTTCTTATGGATTACTAGCTGCTGCCCGCTACTACTTCTGCGTAGAAAAATATGTATATAAATGTGCCTATGTGTTATTCTAATGTATAAGCTAAATTATTGTAAAGTTTCATTAGAATCCATTCAGTAGTATTCGCGTTAAAGAGTAATAAACATCCATCCATACAAACTTTCGCGTTTATAGTATTAGTAAGGATTAAGTTAATTAATTACATATTTATTAAGTTGCAGTTTAATATATAAGAATATATCTTAAATTGTAATATGTATATAGTTATGCGTATGTTCTGAAAGACTTATACTGAACAATCGCAGTCGACTTTAGGACGCCTTGTAAATCAATCCATTATGTGCATAACCAATGATAGGTTGTGGGCAAGCCGCCCGCCCACATTATTCAAATAACCTTCAGCCGCTCAGACGCCACCTATCTGTATAACAATGCTCCTGTGCATGTCCCCACGTCGATTTAACACGGTACTAGATATACGTGGCATTTCTGCAAACTCGAGTCATATGAAGGCGTACTCTGAGGGACCGGACAAAAGTCAATGTGCTACCACTGTGACGAGTTTTATTGATCGTGGAGAAATCGCAAGTTTCGTTGAAGCTTAACATCCATAGGGTGACAATGAGGACGAGCTTTGAAGTAAAACTTCGTTAGGCGCAACTAAGTGTTAACTGACTGCGGCAATGCAACGCAAACGCGCTACGGCGAGAAAGCGTATATATAGTATCCGATTATTCTACTAGCTAGGATTTCTAGGCAATTCGTTGCACAAGCTTAAGAGACAATAGAACCAATGAAAAATACCTCAGCACCAGAAATCGATGGGTTAATAAATGTGTTGCTTATTTTTTACCAGCTTGGGATACTTATATGTAATATAAAGAGGGAAGGCAAATTAACACATTGGTCGACCCATTAAATTAGAATATATAACTTCATAAGAGGTGTTCAAATTAATTGATACGGTTTAGTCAAATTCAAATCTTTCTGGCTTTATCGAGGAAAATCTTTGTCCTTCGGACGTTAAAAAAATGCGCAACTCAGCCATTGGTCGTGGGAATTCAAAAGAAATTCGATTATTATCGATTTCGTCCATTAATGTTTTATATCCACATTTTTATTCAAATCGTGGTCTGAGCAGCGTGATTATGTTCGAGCGACATTACTTGCGGCGTCTCTCCTCGCGGGCCAAATTTTTCCACCCTCGCGTAAACACGACGCTTAAAAGGGAATTAATTGATAAGGAAAATATTTATCTTTCTATTTCAATGTTTCCAATTCCAGCAATATATTAGATGCGATTTGTTTTTGATACACACGTTTTGTAACTGTTACTACGTAACTGTAACTGTTTTGTCCGAACGATGGTTTAGAAAGCTTTTTCTGCAAATCCACTTGACTATGGTATTCGTCAACCGACTTTAAAAAAAGGAGGAGGTTCTCAATTCGGTTGTATTTTGTTTTATGTTTGCTACCTCAAAACTCAGAACTTCGTCATTTATCGACTGATTTTAAAAATTATTATTGGGTTTTGTTTGCTTGACCATTCGCGTCAGCAGCTGTTGCGGGGCCCTACCACAGTTTGTGCTAGGGCCACCTAAAAATATGTAGAATAGCTAATAGTATATTTATAAGAACGAGCAAAGAGCTTCGAAAAGAACGTTGTCACTGTGTGTTAAACGGTGAGCGATGGATGACATTTAGAACCCAATCACTTAAAATGTAGAGTGCCTACGTACCTTTTAACGTGTCTCTCTATCCGCCCCATAACTCGCCTTTAAAGCGGTAAGGACCGGACATCTAGGGAAAAGTGTTTCACTAGTGTCAAAGTCATCATGCGATATTTTTCCTTAATACCGTCGTCGTTTTTGCCCTGTTGCCTCTACTGCATGCCTGATGCGAATTGGACGCGTACCGCCGAACATTCGAGTGATTAATACCCTCTGCGGTCGCGTGGCCTTGCCGCAGCGTCGCGATCGCATCGCCGGATGATATATAAAAACGTCGAACTCATCCGAGCGGAATGTTTTTCGCAATTCGAACGAGACCTCATACTCGTCGAAAACCCCTCTTTCTGCCCGCGTTTCGATGCGACGTCGAATGCGAATTTCAAAAAGCGCTACATTAATAGCGCCCTTTCGGCGTTCGCTGGGAAATATTTTAGCTGTAACAGCTATAAACGTATGAAACAAAGCAATAAAGCGAACTGCTATCGCAGTTTGCGGGGGCGAACTTTTAAATGTCCGACACTTATTACTCCATATAATTTCCGCGTCGCTTTTTAGCGTTCCCTGGCTACTTTTTGTTTGATTTTAGTGCGGAAATGGTTTGGTTTTATTGAATTCGACATTGGATTTGGCTTTGAAGTTTTCGTTACGCGATATTCGATGGTTAGGAATTTCAATTTGCGTGTTCAATATTCATAATAGGTGATTACAATTGAAATATTATATTTGCATTGAAATATTGAATTTTATATTGAAATATTATATTGAAATATTATATCGTATTTGAGCAATAAATGTTTTCTTTCTTTCTTTCTTTCTTTCAAATAATTAGGGATTGTGATGCTAGTAATTTTGCTCCGTTACTGTTACGCTAAGACTGTGGAATGATATTGTTTTTTTATTTCAACATTTTCCTGTGTTGTTATGTGTTATTATGTGGTAGTTTTACATACATAAATTTCACTTGGACCAAAACCCCGATCCTGAAACATCTATTTGTGGGTCACACAAATAGTTGTCCCGTGTGGGAATCGAGCTCGTGACTCCCGAAACCGAAGCCAATACCTTGACAACTGCGCCATGCAGTCATCAAAATAAATATAGCGCTTCAGCCAGTTCTACGGCTTCAAAAGGCACCATTATTCACAAAAGACTTCTTCCATTTCCCTTCCAAGTGACCTCTACGAACCGACGGTAAATTCAAGGCCGCTAAAATAGGAATATTAAATCAAAACAATCTTCGAACAACATTTAAG